TACCCAGTACCAAGCTGTGAGTCATTTATGTGTTTAAAATAGTCTTTTTGGACTCAAATGAAACCAAATACCACAAAGGAATAAGCTACAGAATATAAAGACACTGGCCTCACACACGGTCCTTCTTTAACTGCAATTAACAGGTCTTTTTGGTCTTTTAAACGGGACTCGTTGCCCATAAAATAACATACATTAATAGATAACACACAGAGTTAACAGTAAACCATGTATTCTGTATTTAAGATGGGGAAATCTGCTTCCTAACACCTGCGTTACATTTACAGTGAACTGTGAAAACTAAACGTGAACCAGCCGGAGTCGAGACAAACAATGAGACTTCGTGCTAACTGAACTCAGGATCCCCCCCCCGTCTTACCCGCACCCACCCGGGACAGTGTCTCCTGTAAGGCGGGTTAACGTCGATATTTTGACCCTTGTCATGAAGCGGCTAACGTTAGCTGTCGTTTGGAGAACTCGGTCGCGTCCGGTCGAAGCGTTTCACCGAGTTGACGTTAAATAGTCCGCGAAGCAAACGTCACATTCTCGCTTTATTAGAGCTTCCCTTAGTGTGTTTACCTGTTTAACCGTCTTCTTCCTTCTTTCTTTCTTTCTTTCTTTCTTTCTTTCTCCCAGCTCGGCTCGGCTCGGCTGCCTTGTTGTTGTAATGTCGGGTGTGAGACCGGAAGCCACGTCACCACCCTCTTCGCAACAGCTGATCAGAGAATAAATAAATAAATAAATAAATACATAAATAAATAAATAAAAAATAAGCTGATGAGAGATCAGACGCAGTGATTGATAATAATGCCACTGTATTATATTATATTTTTCTAGCTTGCAGGAAGCTGTTGTTGTTTGTTTTTTTAGCGACGTGGTTGCTAGGCGACACCTAAGCACCGCTGAGTGTGACGACATGCGCATTGATTTTGTAGTTCTCTGTTATGTTTTAAGCAGCGGCGGATCTATAAAATACTCCTGAGGTTATTTGACATCTTTAATAATAATAATAATAATAATAAAATAAACTTTAATTATAGAGCACTTTTCAAAACAAAGTTACAAAGGGCCTTACATGGCTGGAGCCAGGATTGAAGACATGTCAGAAGGCACTAGGCAAATAAAGTCAGACAATTAAAATCATATAGACGTGAGGTAGAATAAGAAAAAAGAATAACAATAAAACAGGTAAAATATATTGCAGATTTTAAGGATATATGTTTTAAGAAGTGATTTAAAGGATGACATTATTGTGGCACAGTAGTAAAGCATTGGATAGAAATATCTTAAGGTGACATCAGAAAATAATAACTTGTTAACATGTTTCCAAATACATGTCTTTTGTTCAATGAATTTAAGTCTATCACTTAGTCTAAAATATGGCCACAAAAGATCATTAAAATATGTATTAACTTCCTGTTTTAAACACATTGTTTTACAACTGACGGGAGGAAAGGTGTTGTGAGTGGGAATTTATTAAACTGTATTATTATTTCTTACTGTAGGCCTATTACTGCCAAAGTTGTGCTTAGGCAATCAAAAATCATATATATAATAAATTTAAAACCCTCTCTGTGGCTATTTTAGAGTCAAATGTTTTATTACAGTTATCATAAATAGTAAATGTGCAACAAGCTCCAACTACTGGGGTCACATTTCTTATACATACAACAATTGTATCTCTATGGTCACATTTGCTTTCTTTACAGCCATGAAAATTTGTGGCACTATTCAAATACTGTGGAAGAGTAGTCAAAACTCAGTATGTGATACAAACATACAGTGTGCAGTAATAATACAGCTAATAGTCCTAATCAGGATACAGCAGACATTTCTGCTACTGGAAAAGACAAAAAGGTGTTTTGTATTTTTTGACTACTAAATATATGTTTAGTTCACGAGCCAAATATATTCAACACACGGTAAACCTAACCCTAACCTCCGAAACGACATTTTCACTTCACATAATGACATTCATTAACCAAAGTGTGTGGGTGCATGAGGCAAACAGACAGAAGAGCTGCAGTGTAGGAAAGAAAAGTCAGAGCATTTTACACAAACTTTTATTAATCCAGAAACAGTCTGATTTGCATGCTTCACTGCACAGAGGTGATGAAAGGACTGAGGAGTGCGTGTTTGTGAGGGATTCACTGCAGATTTCCATTCAAACTTGCCACCTTCTAGCCACACGCTCAGTTCTCTGGTTGTCTGGAGTTAAAAGGTCTTTTTGCTTCTGGTTACAGTTTCAGTTTGCCCAGAACCTCCTTGGTCAACTGTTTGCTGTACCGGTTGATTTTCCAGTGTCCAGGCATCCATCCGAGTAGAAAACGATGAAAATCCGTCCAGGCAAACGCAAACATCTCCCTCCACTCTTTCTCCAGGGCAGCAAAGTCCACATCTTTTTTCACAGATAGCTTTAGTTCTGTAAAATAGAAGTCCAGCAGGCCCGGTACCCTCTTTTCACACTCCCTCTCCTCCATGCAGCTTCCTAAAAAATACACCACGTCTTTCATCCCACAGCCACCACCAACATACTGAAAGTCCACAGCTGCCACCTCCTTTCCACTCTGAGAAAAACAGAAGTTGGCTAACTTGGCGTCTCCGTGAACGACGGTCTTGAAGCGGCAGTCGTTGAGTATCCGGTCGATATCTCCAGCTGCTGCTTTGAGCTTGGCGTCGTCCATGGCCTCCAGCTCGTCTGGCCGGGTCTCCAGGTGCCAGTAGGTACCGACAGGCCACAGGCCCTCCGGAGCCACGCCCAGGAAGAGAGCATGGAAGTGGGCAAGCCAGCTGAGGCAAGCCTTTATTTCTTTGTCCTTCACGCTGGTCCTACAAAGAAACACCAAAAACCTTATTTATCCAGCATGAAATGTCTTTATTCTTATCATCTCTATCCCTTTAATGACACTCTCGCAGTACTCACTTTGTGATTTTGTTTTGAGGGTGCTTCCATCGACATCTAGTGAACTGCAAAGAAATGTTTGTCCTTATAAAATATGAAAGCCCAGGCCTAAAAATGCTTTCCTACACAGGACTGTAGCTACCTCCAAATCTCATTGTATTGTGTACAATGACAATAAAGGCTTTCAATTCAATTTCAGTTGAGGACACTGGGGACCTGTCCTCAGTATTGTTTTGGGAAATTTGGGAGTTTTAACAACCTGAAGACATTGAAGGCAGTGTATCTTTAAAAGGTCTAGTGTCGTATAATATTCATAAGTATGTTTTCATTAGTTTATAATCACCTGAAAATAAGAATAGTTTAATTTCCGTTACCTTAGAATGAGCTGGTTTTATCTACAGAGGTCCTCATGTTTCTACAGTAGCCCAGAACAGACAAACCAAACACTGGCTCTATAGATAGAGACATATGTATTTCTCACTTTTATTTTTTATTTCTTGTACATTCAAACACATTCATGCACCGATGTTGTGCCATGAATGATTTAATTTCTGTTCTAATGAGCCTTTGCTATCAGTGTGTGAATGCCTGAATGGGTGACTGTGGCATGTAGTGCAAAGCACTTTGAGTGGTCGGAAGACTAGAATGATGCAGAATCTGGATGCTTTTCAAAAACCTTTTTTCACCTCCTCAAAAATGTTAAACTGCATCACTTTAATGGAAATGTAGTATTTGTCCAGTCATTTGATGGCCTAGACTTTGCAGAGCTACAGACTACCATGTACTTCATACAAAATGCTCTGCGGTTATACCTTCTCTGATCGTAACCAACAGCATCCAGATCCTCCAGCACGATCAGCATCTCGTCTCCGTGGGAACAGGCGGCCAGGCAGGCAGGAATCCGACAGCTCTGATTGGTGGAATAGTTCTGGTACCAGTGTGTCTCCACCTGGTAGGATCTCACTTTACGTCTGTGGGAGCGATCCGTGTTCCAGCCGCCAGGGTGCTCGGCCTCCTCTGGAAACTTGACGTGTTTGACGACCACGGAGGGCCGGTCGCAGCCCTCCAGGTGCAGCCTGACTATCTCCCCATAACCGCTCCACAGAGTCTGGATCTTTGCTCCAACACGCAGGGAGGAAGCACCACACGCCTGCAGGATGAGATCCTGGTACTCCTGTTTCATTTCCAGTCAGAGCTGATCCGTAAAGAGGAAGCACACTGTAGTGATCAAATATTATACCAATTCAAGGTACTTGTACTTTCCTGGAGTTTTTTCATTCACTTCTCTACATTTGTCTGACAGCTTATGTTACTTTTCAGATTTTTCATACCCCTCCTGTCCAGTGAAAAAACAATGTATCTCCAAATTAGGCTATTTAGATTTCTAAATTGAAGGAAGAAGTGTTCCTTTAAGGGTTGAGGAAAAGTTCCTACTTATTAAGGTAAATAAACTGTTTAAAACTCTCTCGGATTAGCTGGAAAATGAATTATCACAAACTGAACACAGGGCTGTTTGTTTTTCTGAGCTCATGAAAGTTGGTTCTTCGAAGTTGTAGTTCTCCCAACACATACGATGATCTTACTGTAATAGAGTAAACTACCTAACAGTATAAAGTAGCTAAAATCAGCTCAACCTTAAACATCTACAGAAGTAAAACACAACATACATATTAATGCAGTTACCTCACTCACAAATGATCAAGCTTGTGCATCCAGACACCAAAACAGGCTGTGTTTCTGCCTATTCCTTTCTCACACACACATTCAGAAGATGCTACTATTACATTAACAATGTAAGCCAAAATAATACAGTAAGTATGCAAAACTAACTGACTCACATAGGCCAAAACAGAATGCATATGCTTTCCTTTACGTCTCAATGGGCAGACAACAGGAAGTACTCTCTACAGCCGGCTGTGTGGTGTTTAAAGTAGCAGACATGAACTAAAGAAAAGCCAAATTCACGCCTCTGCCACCTGCTGGTCTGGAGTGCATCAACATACTTGGTTCACTTACTGAATTCAGTTCATCTTGCACAATCTAATGTAAACTGTTGATTAAGTCAGTCAGCAGTGGGAGCTGCAGCAGCCGTGACACAAAGATCATGGAGGCGGTTAAAAGCAATTTATGTCTAAAATCACACTTCTTTCTGTCCATTGTTAACAAATCATAAATCATAGAAATAGATGCCACCTAAGAACTCCGGAGTTTGCCTGAGAATCATATAATGGGTACATTACAAACAGAAGCTGCTAATAATTAATTTGGCATGATTAATGGTGCTAATTTGCCTGAATGTAAACAGATATAGGTTTTTAAAAAACAGGCTCAAGTTGTGGCCCACATGTAACCGACTCCTTGGCATAACTTAATAACTGTGATGGGGTATTTGTTGATGCTATAGGTTGTGGTGTTATTGCATTATTTTGTAGGATGTAAATAATAAATATTACAAGCACCTATCCAATACAACAACACCTGACTGTGGACTACACCCTCAAAATGTCCAATGGGGCCCCGTTGGACACTTACTCGAGAGCTAAATTTAGTTGTGGGCTCCTGTTGACCCTGCATTCCTCAGAGCATCAGAAACCAAGCAGTACACAAACTGACATAAGTTGCAGCAAACTGGCACTGAGAGAAGTATCTTTACTACCTCCATGAGCTGTTTGTCACAGGAGAAAAAATGCCCTTCAGGTGCATTAGAATAAAGTTTTCATTTGTCTTATACATGTAGAAAAAACATTTGCATAGATTGGGGGTTGTATAAACTGAACCTGCAGAACAGTTTCTAATTCGAAATACACAAAAACGCCACCCTGTGATAACTCTGACGAGATGACAATGAATCTTTGATGAGTCTTTTAAACTGTGATAATAGGAGAATGTAATTAAGAGGAATTATTTTGTTTAAACATAACAAAGAAGGAAGGACCAAAGAAAGCATTGCTTCTGATGGCTCATAAAATTGTAAATGGGCTCGCCCCATCATACCTGTCTGATCTCATTATACTTTATATCCCAGTCCATGCTGGCTACAGGGGTGGATCTTAAGGAATATTCATGGAGTGGCAGAAACATATGTGCTGATTTAATTGCAGTCACATATATCAATATTTGCTTGGGGAAAAAAACTCAAATGATGATATTTAAACTCAAAAACATTAAATTATTGTGGCACATCAGTAAAACATTAGAGATCGAATGCAATGGAGTAAGAAATAAAAGTAAAATATTTCCAAATCTTGAAATTTAAATCTTTTTCATGTAGATTTTATGAATTCATGACAAATCCCTCATATGGAACTAAACAGCTTTGAGCAATAGATTAATTTAGGCATCTATCTCAAGTCCGACTATTATTTTGATCTATGTCATCATCAATAATTCCCTACAGCTTCAGGAAATACTGAATACTGAAATACGGATTTGCATTTTGTCCCAGAAGGACATTTGAAAGTTTACATACTGAGGAAAAACACTTTTGCATAATGTGTATGATGGACGTGATAAACAAACACTGAACCTGTTTAACTGTCAATGTACAATCAACTACAAGGTGTGACACACAAGTATAAGAGCACTTCACACCAGTACTGCATTGTGATAGGTGCTGAGACTGGACGAAATCTTTGCGGTGTACAAACAGGTGCCCAGTGTAAACAAGTAAAGAGAGACATTTGTGAAACAGAAAATGGAGAACTGAATAAAGACAAGCTGGACAAGTGAAGGGGACTCTGTAGACAAATCAAGACTTAACAAACATTAGGTAAGTCTCTTCTACATCTGCAATCACACACAACCTTCAGATGTTAATCTGTTCTTAGATTTTCAAGATATTAAAGGTTATTTTATTGTCCTTTACAACAAAAGGTAAGAATGATTTTTAGATTTACTTCCGTTTATGCTACTTTTAAACAAAATGTTCTGTCCTTTGGACTCTGCACAGACACGTCGCCCCACCAATGTCACTGTAACACCTGTATATGCAGACATTCACATATAGCAAAAAAAGACTGAAGCAGATTTGTAATGAAATGCACTCACAGGTGTTTTAAAGAAATGGGTGTCTCGTGTTCAAAGTAAAGTTTCATTGTTCACACAGTAGTGTGTGTCTTAAGTTAATTTCTGCAACAACAAACAAACAACAAAAAAAATTAAAGCTGCAAGCAGCGTTGGGTGGGCCCTCGCACTCCACGCAACTCGGGGCGTGCTGCGGCCGCGTCACGTGCCGTCGTTACACGTGCGGACCACA